TGTGTGTTTGAGAGAGGGAGAGGGTGAGACGAGAGGGAGAGGGTGAGACGAGAGAGGGAGGGTGAGACGAGAGAGGGTGAGACGAGAGAGGGAGAGGGTGAGACGAGAGAGGGAGAGGGTGAGACGAGAGAGGAGGGAGGGTGAGACGAGAGAGGAGAGAGGGTGAGACGGGAGAGGGAGAGGGTGAGACGGGAGAGGGAGGGTGAGACGGGAGAGGCCAGCTAGCCAGCTCTGTGCTGTCAGCCTGGATGAGGCAGCAGACACTGTGGTCTTCTTGATGGTCGCAGTCTGCAGCGACAGGACGGCTCAGGACAGAGGCTCGTCAGGAGCTTTGAAAAACTCACAGCAGGGTCGTTCCAAAAGGTTGGCATGAGCTCAGGGCGACTCAGCAGTTTGGATCAGCACAAAATGGACGTTTTAACTCCAGTTAGAAGAGATGTTTCCTTGTAGGTTCTGAAAAGTAAAAATTTCTGCGATAAAAAGAAAGAAGCTGAAAACTGACTGTTTTTCCAGCACAGAAAAGCAAGAAGCTGAAGATCCTCCCAGCATCTTGACCCAGCAAAGACAACAGACTGAACTGAATACTGTGGTAGAGAAGAGCTTTAGTTTCAGACTGAACACAGTGAAGCACTGTTCTCTGGACAGAACAGATGAGAACGTGTGTGAGTGTTTGCAGGTGTCCAGGTTCTCATGAGAACATGTTTTCTTTGTGTGGAAGACCCAAGAATCAAATCATAGCAACACACAATCATTAATAAGCAGGACTAACTAAACTCTTAAAATCAGCATATTAATATTCTAATTAATTAATGATTAATCATGAACACTGACTAAATGGATTATTAAGAACGACTGAGTAATGCTTATCAAAACAGAAGAAGTGTAAGCATTGTCTAAAACATATATTTTGTTTTTATTAACCCATAAAATTTTAAGCATAATCAGAGACAACAAATAAAGAATTACTATAAGCTAAATTATAGAGCCTTTAAAAGAAAGACAAAGGTCAAACATAAAGGGTACAACGGCGTATTAGGGCTACTTTGCCGATGGGGGAAGAAAAAAAAAGAGCAAATCTCTGAGAAAAAAACTCAGAATTTCTGAGATTAATTTCAGAAATTTTCGAGAAAAAATCAGGAAATTCTCTTATTTTGAAAAGTCGCAAATTTGCGAGAAAAAAACTTGTTTATAAAATGCATAAAACGTGCTGAAATCACCATATTTCCTTAAGGTTCACATGTCAAATATATGTTTCACAAATCACTCACTTGGTTTTCAATATTCTTCAATCAGTGTAGAATAATCTAGTCCAGGTTTAAAGTCTCTGTTTTAGTTTTTAAACTGGAGCGGATTAAAGAAGCTCAAGGTAGTGAAAACAGGTAGAATGGCCCTTTAGACATTCCTGAAAACTTCTGCGTTTTTTTTTCTTGTAAATTTCTGACTTTACCATGTCAGAAAATATCTAGTTTAAATGTCGCTAATTTCTGCCTTTAATTATGGAAATTTCTGTTTTTTTCTCGCAAATTAGCGACTTTTCAAAATAAAAGAATTGCCTTATTTTACTTGAAAATCTCTGAAATTAATCTCAGAAATTCTGAGTTTTTTTCTCAGAGATTTGCTCCTTTTTTTTCATCAGTAAAGTGGCCCTAATACGCCGTCGTAAAAGGGTCAAAACGTTGGAATTATACATACTGAGAAAACGGCAACAGGAGGTTTTATTTTATTTTGTTTTTATCAACAAACAGCAAATCTTCATGAGAGCAGGAACCGTGTTGGTTTCCCAGAGGAAAGGAGAGGCAAGCTTTTCTTTTTTTAAAGCTCTCAGCAGAGCTGAAATGATAAAGTCTGGGGAAGAGGAGAGTTTTGACCCTAGGTGGTCAAAAGGTGAGGCGTTCCTCTACATCATTCAAATGACACATTGATAAGGCCTTAATTCATTATATTTTGTCAAAATGCAATTTTTGCACACATTTAAATCACAACTCTATATCTGCCTGTTTCTCTACATCCCACTTTTGGACTTCATCCTCATTTTGATGTGCGGGGTCACATTTTGTCAGGTTTGAGGCTTTGTTGTGATACATGAACATCTCTGTTTGTAGCTGTCTCAGAAGGGCTCGTACCCAGCAGAAAGTCAGGCCCAAACTCCAGCCTCCGTCAGCAGTCTGGACACTTCATCTCAGCAGCCACAGTCCAATGCCTCCGCTGCTAACCTTGAGCCCAAGGTAGAAGTCAAACACCAGGATGAGGAGGAAGAGGGCGATGCCGACAGCTGCTCCAAAGGAGGGAAGCTCAGCAATCACAAAACGGAGGAAAAGTGCGTGAAATTGGAAGTGAAGAAGGAAGAGTGTTATGGAGAAGGAGGTAAAGGAGTTCCTATGGATACATCAACAGCTGCGCCAACATCAGAGGTAAAAACTGAGGACAGGAAACCAGAAGTGAAGAAGGAGGTGAAGGAGGAAGAGGAGAGTTCAGAGGCAGCTGCTCCTCAGGCCTCTTTGAAAAAGAAAAGTAAGACCTGTTCTTCTCTAACATTTTACCTCTGTTGTTCAGTGTCTTTTGTCTCATCCTCTCCACATCTTGACTTTCTGAACAGTCTTCAAGCCCGAGGAGCTGCGTCAGGCCCTCATGCCCACCCTGGAGTCTCTCTACAGACAGGACCCAGAGTCTCTACCCTTCAGGATGCCTGTGGACCCCCAGCTGCTCTGTATTCCTGTATGTAGACCCGCTGCAGTCCTGCACTTAGCATTCATCTCACTTTTAAGGTCTCTCTGGGCTGGGACTGTTGGAGACTAGTCGGTAACTCACTATTGTGAGAACAGAGTCCAATTTTCTTTTAGAAAACATTTTTTAAATTAATATTTTATAGTGATCATCAGCGTGGTTAGACCTGGACATGTTTTCTGTCAAAGGGGAGGTTTAGAGACAAGTTGGACAATCCCACTACAGATGGGTCAGAGACAGTCTCTGGAGACTAAACAGTTTTTATTATGTTGAAAATTTAGATTGAACTGTAAGTAAATTAAGAACCATTGCAAATGTTTTGACACCTTCTGGAGACAATCTGATCGTTTCAGTTCTCCAGCTCGTCACAGCCCTATGAGACACCAGCTGTTATCCTCCCACTTTGCAAGAACTATAAAATCTTCACTCTGTTGATTGGGTCAGGTTGTTGAAATTCTGTGTAAAGATTTAAACTCCAACATTTTGACAGGACTATTTTGACATCGTGAAGAACCCAATGGACCTATCAACAATCAAACGAAAGCTGGATACAGGTTAGTGTTTGCTGCTGGATGGACGAATCATGGATCACATTACTTTATTAAGATTTTAAAGTTTACAGAACATTAGCAAAACATGAGCAACATATCAATTTCCCAACACACCCCAAACAAAGAAAAACAGGCGAGCTAAACATTATAATGGTGAATGAGTAAACAGTTTGTGAAAAGCAACAGTCTTTTTAACATACATACAACATAATCTAATAGAGCCACTGGCATAGTGTCCACATAGGTCAGATAAGGCTGTCAATCAATCAATAACTTTATTTTTGGTAAATTTTTCATATTAAACATAAAAAACAACAACAAACAAAACAGAAACAATAAACAAACTCATAATTTACCAAAAAAAACAGGGATAGGCTGAAACCATACTTATTCTTGCCTACCCTATTTTATTCTCAACAACCAACCAAGATATCTTCACAATACATAAATAAATCTACATACCAGCGTAAGATGTTATCATTTTACATTTCAGAGCTCTTTTAAAGCTCACCAAAAAAGCACGTAACTTAAGATCATCATTCTGTTCATTCCACAGTTTCACACCAACAACTGAAACACATCTTGACTTCACCTGGCTCTTCTCTTTTACATTCAAATATAAATAAAACTTGCAAATTATAATTATTCTCTCTTAACTTAAATAATTTCTGAACACCGGAAGGAAGACTTTTGTTCAATGCTTTATACATTATTTACAGTATTTTTATATAAACAATATCTTTAAATTTTAATATATTACTTCCAATGAAGAGTTTATCAGTGGGTTCACGATATCCCACTTTATTAATAAGCCTTATAGCTTTTTTCTGCAACTTAACTAATACGTCAATGTTTGTTTTACTTGCATTTCCCCAACTTTCAGATTTTTTAACTAAAGTTTTATAATCATTTCTAAGAGAGTATATGATTTTTTTTTATGAGTGAAGCACAGATATTCACCTCTGAGAACCACCTGTAAACGATGAGTTGGAAGTCAGACTTCCATGTAATGCCTACACACTTGAGAAGAACATCACAGGGGCTTTGTTAAAAGTAACAGGCTCACCTTTTCCTCTGGATATCTTGGCGGCCATACGAAGGGCCTTATCCCGGTCTTTGTATTTGAGAAGATGGATGAGAATGGGCCTTGGCTGTTTACCTCTTTGTGGGTTAAATGTAGGGGATCGATGCGCTCGTTTGATCACGGGGGAAATGGCGAAATGCTCTTTTCCCAGCACAGAATGGATCCACTCCATGAAGAACTGTATTGAATCCATTCCCTCGGTGCCTTCGGGCAGGTTAACTATGTGGATGTTGTTACACTGGGTTTGGTTTTCCAGCTGGTCCACCTTCTCGATGAGAGTCTTTGTTTTTAGTAAGACGGAAAACATGGGATTCCAGTTCAGTTACCTTGTCCTCAGCTGCGCTAATCCGTTACTCCTCATCTGTGATTCAGGAGCCCAGTCCGTCTATCATAGTGGACTGGTAAATGGTAATTGGACTGAACATATATAGAACATTATCACGTCTCTCCGGACCCCAGAGTGCTTTACTTAGGGTTCCTGCAGATCCTTAGCCTGACGCTTGTCTTCCTACGCAGTTCCACTCAATTCTAGTTTCCTTAACTGCTCCGTCTGGGATTTCTCCCATAGACAAGGATTTCTTCAGGAGCATTTTGTTTGGGCCAATCAGAGAACGGAACGTTGATTTTCTGCGCAGTGTCTGCTTGTAGTTTATTTTACCTGGGCCAATCAGCAAACAGAAGGCAGAGTTTTGAACAACTTTGATTTTCTGCGCAGTGTCTGCTTGTTATTTTAGCATACGGCAGTGGAGGAAGTGAATGAAGACAGTCTGTGTTGATAAGGCTTCCAAACTGAATTAAATTTGTCTGACAAAGCAGCAGCTCTCATTTATAGTTGTCTCGTTCGGCTCGGTACTTCTCTCCTCTCAGTAGGGTTGTTTACAGCACACGTTTTTTCTGTTAGCTTCTTAGCTTAGCCTCCTTCACAGCAACATACGTTCCGATCCAATCATTTTAAACTTCAGCAGAGGCCACGCCTCCAACAAGAATCACTTCTCTATAGCCGAGAGTCCAGACCCTGGTATGAAGCAAAGTGAAGAACAAGGGTCACACTTTTAACAGATCCTTAAAAAGTCTTAAAAGGCATTGAATTCATCAATCCAAAAATAAGGCCTTAATTAGCCTTAAAATGTCTTAAATCAATCTTTCAAGCAAGAACATGTTCGTATTTTAATCCTAAATTTCTCTTTCTTTTGTTCGTACAAAGGGTTCGTACGAACATGTCACGTCAGATTCAACAAACTCTTCTATCTTCAGGAAAAGTGTGTAAATGAGCTGCGTAAATT